GTAATCTTAAACATAAGAACTTGGTAATAGAATCTACCTTTATTTTCGGAAAGAACTTTTTTTGGTAAGTAGATCTTACAATAATTTATACTTAGGATATAAATTTCAATGAAATTATGTTAAATTCAACCTATAACATCAAATTTTCACCATTTGATTATTTTTTAATAAGAAAGCTTGAGTAGAAGTAATATGCTGCTAACTTCAAACATTTTTGAAATTTTGAGTCTGTGAGCCATATGATTTATAATAAAATCCTTGAACTAATGCTCCATTGTATTTCAAGAAGCAGCTGTGATAAAACACTTTAACTCAATAGTCATAGTCGATTTAGTACTTAATTGTATTTCTTTTTATAAATCTACACTTTCTTTTATCATCACATTCAATGGCCAACTTGTCAAATTTTTATTCCAATCTGTGAAGATCCTTTTGAGTTTCAAGGAAATCCTCTAGAAAAACACTTTTTCCAAACTAGAATAATAACTTTGTATTCTTCACATTTTATCTGATGACAAACTCTGAAATTGTTGCAGTCACAACTAATTTTAGAAAATTTTGCATTACTAATCACTCTATTGACCAAGCAAGAAACTTTGAAAAGCATGATTCCAAACTGCCAATATTCATCAATCCAATTGTCTGGTTGTCCATGATTACACCTTGCTGAGCAAGCCACATTTATCATGTGTTAGTCAAAGAATTATATACCATTGTCTATATTTCTGATGTCACATTTGTAAATGAGGGTTAATCATTGAATTCTCGAGGGATAGAAAATTCATACTTAGATATTCACTAGATGAAATCTCATCACTATTAATTTCTCAAGATTTTTCAAAAACTTGAAAGAATTTTTTTACACATCTCATAAAAAAATATTTTCTCACAATCAAATGCTGAAGCTAGAATATCCTCAGCAGATGTGTTTTCCCTCATAATGGTTGAAAGCTGCTCCTGATCAACCTATCTCGAATTAATTTTTTCGAGGCTATAATACTATCCCTAAAATCCTCACCTTGGAGTGTAGATATAACCGAACTTCTTCAATATTACTAATCTGATCTTATGAAGAAGAAGTTTATTTTGACTCATCACCTGAAATTAGATGCATAATCAAAAACTTTGATTTTTCTTAAGTCACTCCAAATATTTTCAAATCCACTATCATTTTTATCTATTCAGTATATAATTTAGAGCTTGATCACCTCACATGTCTTCTAGAGCTTTCTCATTCATTTTTCTGTTCACAAGAGGCAGATAACATTGCAAGTCTCAAGAAAACCCATACTTTTAAAATAGTCCACTACTGGCTATTATGACAGAACTATGCATTAATGTCAAATACTTTTAAAATACACAATCCTTGGGTTTCATACTCCCATGAAACTAAATTTTGAACTTGAACTCAGATGTTTTAGATTGACAAGTTATTGGTGTATTAACATGAGACTCTGAAATTGAATTTTAATTTACAATAAAAGCTTCTAAAAACTCACACCTTGATTTATTCAAACTCTAATCAATGTTAAATCCTTGTAACTAAATTTGATACCTTTTGAATTTGATAAGGTAGTGATTTATGATTTAATTTCCTTAAAATTTTAAGATACAATATTTTTCTTTGGATAACATCATAAACTAATTTTATGAGCTAAATGATTTTAAAAATGGCAATGGTTTTTATCTTATTTCTATTGAAACTTAACGTTGAAAATAAGACATTTTTGAAAGTGTCTTATTGATGAATTAATACTGTAATAATAGATGTTCAAATTGAAATCAGAATTTTGAAATATGTTAACTAAGTAGGTAAAAAAAACTGATTTGACTTGCACTATATGTTTAGTCATATAAAAAATGAGAGATTGTTTGTTTTGTGGACCGAAAATAGATAATTAAAATAAAAAGAACGTGGAAGCTCTATATATTGGGGTGAGGAGGGAGAGAAAGTAGGCTAGGCCCAAAAACATATAGATATAGACAACCACCCTCTAGTTAGAGCATAGAGATTGAAAGCTCCAAACTTTGAGTAAGAAGAATCCAATTGAGGACTATAGAGAGCATGTGTGAGCATATATGTAAGTTGGGGCTTTCAAAGACACTCTAGTCGGGAGAATCAATTGAGCTTGAAAGTTTCTTCTGAATAAAGTGACAATCAACGTCAATATGTTCCATCTATTTATGGAAAATAGAATTAAAAACAACATAGAGCGCTTAGTGATTGTTGTAGAAGAGACACATAAGCTAAACACAAAAAAGGCCACGTTTTATAAAAAATGACATATCCAAATAAGTTCGTATACAACACTCCGCATAGCTTGATATTTTGATTCAACACTAGATATCACAACCACTTATTATTTCTCACTCTTCTAGGAGATAAGATTTCTCTCCAAAAAGATATAATAGCCAGTAGTGGAGTGTTGATCGATAAGAAAATCTGCCTAGTCTACATTAGAATATCTATGAACATCAAGGGAAGAGGAAAGTTTATATAGAAGTTCGCAACTAGGATGTCACTTCAGATGAAGATGAGTTGAGAAGTGAATTTTGATCCAAAAATAAATCTCCTTCAACCAAATTTGAATGATTTTTTTTTTTCCACCTAAGAGGTTTGAGAAGTGAAGAAGATGCTCAAATTTAAGGCCAATCTATTTTTTTCTTCACCAAATTCTATCTGCAATTCACTTTGCATTTTCTATTAGAAAATGTCAATGATGATATCTTTATTTATTTCTTGTGGTATAAACTTTTGGTTAAGTTTTGACTTAATCACTCAAGGGAGATAAGGTCCATAATCAACTTTTGCTTTCTTATAACCTTGAATCTAGAAGATATTTTTTATATGAAATTGAAAGAGATTTGAGCATGGTAATCAACAGTCCTCACTTAATTGTTTTAGTGGTAGATAATAATAGAATGTTCTTAGAAGGTGAATGTAGGTAGGGAGTCAAACCAGTATAAATTCCTATTGTCTTCAATGTCTATATCTAAGAGATCTACAAATAGGAAAGATTAAAAGAAGAGGTCAAGAAAATTATAATAGTTAATCAAAAATTAAAACTTATAATAAAATTAATTCAGTTCCACTTTCTTTATCTTAGTGTGGCCTTAAATTCAATAGGTATAACCATGAGATTTACACTATTGATGGAAATTAGTGTGAGTAGGTCTACAAAGAGATCAAAGAGTGTATATTAAGGCATCATTGGCCACAAAAGAAGGTTTGAAGTTTTATAGAAAATATTCAGCATAAAACTCTAGAGAACTACCAAAAATGGTGCTAATCTAAGAGGAAAGGAAGGAACTATTTAAAACATTATGGCTTGACTTGACTTTCCAATCTTATGGTATTTTTTAGATGCCCAAAACCTATGAGTACCATTTTATAGTTTTAATGACTTATCTTATATTACATTAGAGGCTACAACTTTTTTCTTTTACATGGATGGAATAAAGGAAGGTACAACCTACAAGTGTGGATTGACTTTTGAGGCAAATGGAAGGTTATTTTGTAGAGAGGATGCACTTCAAGTACTACTTATCAATTAATTTTTCCTTAAAGAAACACTGATATTCTTCTTTGGAAAAAAAATTTGTCATTTATTTTCGAAATGGTGAGAGAAGATCAATCCAACAGTCTAGTCTCAATATTAACCTTTAGGAGCCCAATTAGGGCGCTTTAAAAGTATACCCTACTAAAGGGTCATGGGAACCAGATGTAAACAGTGTTATCACTTGAAGAAATTAGGCCCATCAATGAAGTGGGCCATGTATGAGGAGACTCTAATTTCATTTTGTGCTTTCCCATCCCTCAATCCCTTGAAGTTTAGGCCAGACTTCTCAAAAATCTATGTTAGCTCAAAAAGGGGAACCAATGTGTTAAAATAGGTCAGGCAAAATTAGGGATTCTCATTATTTCATAGATAACATAATTGACAGCCACTTTATTCAGTTCAAAGAAAATACATAAGTTGATGAGAAACAAACTGATGGTTTTCATGTTAGGCAAGAGATCATTGAGGCCAAAAGGAAAAACTTAATGGAAATAAAAAATATCTACTCTAGATATGCGCAATAAACTTATTATATTACAAGAAAATAAATTAGTTTCAAATAAATAATACCATAGAGAGGTAATCATGAGATGTATATCCAATCCATAGAGTGATCAACATCTTTGGTCACATTTATACTCAAATTTGGTGTAACTAATGCATGCTATCTATTCTAGTTTTAAAATATATGTTAGGCAGAAACTAATAAAAACAGTATCAAGGATCACGAAGGTCTTAAACATCCAAGTTCAGATTTATCAATCTCAATTCTGATATGCTGATTTGAGTGAGTTATTTAAGCTTCAATAGAGTAGATAAGAGATTTTGTTCATTCAACGGCTTCTAAATGAGTTCTCATGATGTAATTCGTTGAAAAATGATCTAAAGCATATTCTGGTTTGAATTTATAATTGATAAATTTCCTAATTTAATAAAAATAATTTAAGCCATAGATCGTTTTAATCGGATTTTCTTCTGAATGAAAAAGACCTTCCAGAATACTAACTGTTCCTTATCCATTACAGGTGAGCCCGCAAGAAAAAAAGTGAAATATGATCCTTTGGCAGGATCAACTTGAAAAAATAAATATAAATTATATACACATTGAATCTTTCAAGGTCCTAAAAATTGTCCGTGAAGTGTTTTTGTCGGCACCAAATTGTCCGTCATTTTAGAGCCTGAAACCTTCGATCTCAGAGAAACCCCTCTCGCTCTCTCCACACTTTCCCCAATTGATACCCGTAACCATGATGCCAGGTTTACAGATAATAGTATATATCCAATGGACAAAAGAAAAGATACAATCTTCTACACAATCGAAGAGCACCCTGGGGCCAGCAAGTTATCATCGTGAAGCAGAAGCGGCTAGCTGATCCAATGCCGCCCTCTCGAGGAGAACCACCGCGTGTCTCATCTCCCCTGTCAGAGCTCTTCTTCTTCCTAGTCCTCCTCCCTCTCCCGAGGAACCGCTCCGAAGTGCTCCACCAGGATATCCACAAGGACGGGGACTAGGTCCTTGCAGGGCACTCCTTTCTTGTGGACGCTCCCCAGGTGAGAGTCGCTTCCCACCCGGCCACCCAGGTAGATGTCGACCGCCTCGCACACCTTCCCGGCGGAGTCCCTGGCCATGCACCCCATGAAGCCGATATCCGCCACCTGCACCTGTGCGCAGCTGTTGGGGCAGCCCGTCCAGTGCATCCTCACACTCTTCCCCGCGGGGAGTGACACCCTTCTCTCCGCCTCCTCCGCCACCCGCATCGCCCTCGCCTTCGTCTCGATGATGGCCTGACCGCAGAACTGGTTCCCCGTGCATGCCACTAGCCCTCTCATCAGTGCGCTCGGCTCGGGTGAGAACCTCTCCCGCAGGAGTGGCTCTTCCAGCATAGCCGCGACCCTCCCATCCGGCACGTTCGGGATCACCACGTTCTGCTCCACCGTCAGCCGCAGCTCGCCGGTGCCATACTCGTCGGCGATCCTCGCCAGTTCGAACATGTCCGCGGCCTGGACGCGGCCTACTGGCACGTGCAGGCCCACGAAGCAGAGGCCCTGTTGCTTCTGCGGGTGCACGCCGAGGTAGTCCCGCCGGAGCCAGTCCTTGTTCACTAGCTCCTCCGCCGGCGAGGCCGCCCGCAGGAGCACTCCCTGCGGCATCCGCCTCTCCACCTCCGCGCGGAAGGCCTCTATCCCGAGCTCGTCGATGAGCCACATCATGCGGGTCTTCTGCCGGTTGCCACGCGTGCCGAGGTCACGGTATGCCTCGAGCACGGCCCGGCAGACCGGGACGACGTCGTCCCCGGGTACCCAGGCGTCGAGCGGCACCGCCTCCGCCCACCGCTTGGGGCTGATGAAGCCTCCCACGAGGAGGTTGAAGCCGAACCTCCCCTCCTTGGTTGCCGGCATGTAGGCAAGGTCGTTGATGTGCGGATGCTCGTACAGGTCATGCGAGCCCACCACGCACGCATTCCACTTCCTCGGCCTGCGACGAAGAACATAGGGAAGTCGAATTGAATCAGGCGGAGCAGCTCCTTCAGTTTCTTGGTCCGATGGGGGCGAGCTCACGGCGGGCACTCACAGGTTTGTGACGGCGGGGTTTCCCCGGTCGTTGCCGGTGATGAACTGCGAGAGGAGGTTGGCGTAGGGGCGGGTGTCGACAATCTCATGTGGGTCGAAGCCAGCAAGCGGATTGCCGACGGCGTTGCGGACGTTGTCCATGCCGCTCTGGAGGCTGCTGAGGCCGACGCCGGCAAGCCCGTCGAGGATCCCCGGCACGTCGGGCAGCTGCACTCCCCGGATCTGCCAGTTCTGCCGCGTGGTTACGTCCCCGCAGCCCTCCTCTCCGTATGCCTCTATGACTCCCGCCAAATAGCGGATCTGCTCGCTGGTCGTCACCCCATTGGGAAGCTTCAGCCTCATCATGAACCGCCCATCTGAAAGGTCAACGTCGAAGCTCGGGAGATGGCTCCAGATACGGGAGAATTAATCGGTCAGCAGAGGTAGAGAGCGAGGGCCTTACACTGCTGCTTGCGGCGGTGGAAGAGGCCGAGCCACTTGAGGCGCACGTCGATGTCGTCCTTGGAGAGCTTTGAGGCCTCAATGTCCTCCAGCGGGGTGGCGGCGAGGTCGCGGATACCGCCCTCCATGAACAGAGACATGGGCTCCTTCTCCAGTTTCACCTTCTCCTGCGGGTTGATGCCCTGCCGGAACTTCTCCTTCAGGACCCAGTAACCCCCCTCCCGCCGCTCCACCCGCGGCTCCAGCCTCGATGTCTCCGCCCCCTCTGTCAGCGAGGCCGGTGGCTGAGGCGTAGCCGGAGCCGCTGTCGGCGTGGCGGTGGCCACGACGGCAGGCACCCGGCGGCGCCCCCGGCGCGCGGCCTGCCACGACGGCGTGGGAAAGTGAACAGCCGAAGACGACATGGCGGTACGAGGTCGGCGTGGGATGGTGGCAGCGGGTTTCTCTGCGGCGGTGGCGACTCCATCGGCGCAACGGGGGGCCGCGGGGTTCTTAACAGCCCAAGAGGAGACAACGAGGGAGAGGGAGTAGCCCCCAAGCGAGCGGCGGCGGAGAGTCGGTCGTACGAGAGGGCATCTGGCCTTGGGCTCTTCGCCGTCTCTAAAGGGCAGACGCAGAACTCACGGACGAGAAAAGGGTCGTAGGGAGAGAAGAAGACGGCGAGGGGGGATGGTGGGGGTGGGCCACAGGTCAGCGGCTCCCTCGGGCGTGAGGGGGCGCGTGCCGGAGGCGGTGAGCGGCGTAGCAAGCCCGGCCCTTCGGACCGAGGCCAGCCCATCTTTCATTTCTTGATAAGACAATCGTCTCCACGCAAAAAAATGTATACGAATACAATTCTAAAATAAATCCTCGCCATTATTTTCAGCAGCAGGCCGACATGTTTCTTGTGTGAACGTTCTCCTTAGTAGTCAACACTCCGCTGGCTCCACGGCGGCCCAAGAGGTTCGTCACGTGGACGATCAGTCAAAGGGGTCCCGATTTTCTAAGCATTGAATTATTTACTGCAAAAAGAAATCGGGGTACTCGTAAACTACTAGATTTTGAGGTAAGTCCCCCAATTTTTCCACGTGTTGTTGAAAGTCATTTCAAAACATTCCAAATTTGGAACTTGTCTTTCTACTTCGTTTATTACCTTTGCTTAACGCTTAACGATTAAAAAATTAATTATGACTAAATCAGGCCTTTAAGAGTCTCCTCTCTATCTATGGTGCGGTTTCTCAACAAAAATTAGTACCATTATCTAAAAGTAAATATAATATTGAAAATAATATTATTGTCAATTATAACAAGGAATGAAGTCATGGTGATGATGCCTACCAAGATAAGTGAAAAAGCAAGGGGCTGATCATTAATTCTAGTTGTTTGTAGGGGTTAAAACTAAATTTGAACCAAAAATTATTTCTACCATGAGACTAACTCTTCTTGCACAAGGCTTGTATCTGATGCTATATTAGAATCATATTAAACTCATTAAAGAAAAATTATTTATTATTTTGATAACTTAATTATCAACATTATCCCTCGATTCAAATACTTAATTAGGATTAAATGTTGAATGACCCTACTTGGGGGAGACGGACTAATGTTTTATTATACTTACAAATACTCATATGAACAACATAGAGACACAAGGGTTTTTAAAGTTGTTTGACCTCTTGTTATTTTCTCACAAATAAAACTAATGATTCAAAATAAATAAATAATAATATGAATATGTAGAAAGAATAGAAATAATGAAATTCACTTGCTTCTTAGATCCAGCCGCTCTACCTTTGTTTGCATCAAGGATCGTTAGATTGATGCACAGCCTAATAGGGCCTTTAATGATCCACCTCATCAAATGCAAGAGATATATGAGTCATTTCTTTAAAATCTCCACCTTAGCAAATACCTCAACCATCTTAAAAATTCCTCGTCGGCCAATATATTTTTAGCATTCTCTTTAGTATTTTTTTTTCTAAGAAACTATCTCCTAAAATTTTAAATTCTCAAATCTTATAAAATCTTAAATCATCATACTTTGTCTTGCATATACATACGTTTCCTCAATGAATAATTAACATTTTGACTATTGTAATTAAGAAGAACTTCATCTTAATTAATACGGAGATCCTTCACTAAAATTTTATCCATAGCTTTTTTTATGATCCCCAGCCATTGCCATATGTTCAGCCTCTATCATAGATAATATATTGGTTACTTTAACTGTTGACACATGAAAAGTGTCCCAACGAAAATTCTTAAATAATCAACAAACACCTAATTTCAATATAATTTAATCAGTTCATTGCGAGTCATGTTACTGAAGACATGATGTTATGTTACTGACGCCTTCACAACTAATGATTCAGCATGAATGGATAAACATTGATGTTTATTTGAATTGCCAAAGATCTTTGAAATCTTTGATTGTTGAAGATGTTGTGGAGGATTTGTCGAACACTTTAAGATCACTGGCTTGATTCGTTGCTAGAGATTCTTGATGGAAGTAGGTTGGACTATAAAAGGATCTTGTTGATAAAGAGGAAACCCAACTACTAATTATCTATAACAAAATCTCATGGAGGAAGTGGGAAGGAAAGGGAGAAATTGTGACACCACCCGGATGTTCTTCTTGTGTGATTTATGTTACCCTAATTTGGGTAAAAATCCCCTTTTTATAATTAGGCTTAATGTGCTAAACAATCCCTTTAAAAATTTTCTTTGAGATTTAGGCCATATTGCATGTTGGGCCACACATTTTGTCACGTATCGGGCTGCACACGGATTGCAGGTATGGCTTTGGGCCAAGTCACCATTCCAGGTCTGATTTAACTGACCAGGCCTTTAAGGCCTCACAGTCTCATGTTATTGGACTGGGCCTTTGGGCCTAGTCAGGCTATGCCTTGCTGGTTCATGTCTATGAGCTTTATTAGGCTATATATGAAAACTAACCACGGAAAAATATGCACAAATGTTGTAAAAAATAATATAAAATTTGAGCCTTGACAGTTTGACGATTTGATTGGACCTTTAAGTTCACTCTTTTCACCTTTCCAAGAAATTGATTCACGCCCAAAATATCATCTTTTTCATATAGAAAATACAGGAATTAATAGATAAGAATAAACTAGTTAAAATAATATAATATTGATGATAGATTAGAGATTATCAATCCTTGAAATATGCAGCTCAAAAATTGGTTCAGAATGTGCATGACAATGCCATGGAAAACATCTGGCTAAACACATGGCCGCCACTAGCAATGAAAGCCATTTCCCATGAATCGTCCAGCAAAGGGAGACAGTGATGGTGCTTTATCTTTCCATCTTTCCTGCCATGAATTTCATACATTTTTTTCTGTCATTACATTTGGTTATATTCCATTTGATGCAACAAAAGGGGAAAAAAGGATGCGCGGAGAAAACATGATATGAAACTTAGCTGAATTAAAAAATGCTTGAGAAGAAAAGTAAAAAATATAGGGGGAGAAGAATATTATTGAATGAAAAAAAAAGGAAAAATTAATTTTATCATTTCTTCAGAATAAAGTGTATTTAGAGTTAGTTTCATATCAAACTTCGAAATTATTTTCTCATCATTGAAAAGAGAGATTATTAAGTTTAAGTGATCAAACTAGTTTTGATGATGTAGAAGGTTAAATTAATCTATAATAGAATTATGAAATTGATTTCACTTACTTTAAGGACCCTTAAAGGATCAATAATGTCAAATAGAGGACTGAATCACTTGTTGAGATGCATACTTTAAGGATCAATAATGTATAGTCTATCATTTGGATTGATCTAACCCTTGAGAGATCAATGGCAACTGTGCTGCCCATATTTTCAATGGATGATTTCCAGCCACCCACTTTGAAATTGTCATTCACATTGAAATACTAGTCCAATATCCCCCTTAAGATTTAATTTGATATAGATATGATACAAGTCTATATCTCCCCCTTAATGTTTGGACTATTATCATAAGAAAGAAGACTGTAATCCATGTGCACATGAGTTGCTACAAAATCATTCCCTGGATCTTCAAGATAATTGAGAAAATTTCATGGGAGGACATCTTTAAGAAAGTGAGAATAATGATGGATGGAGTATTTTGATTGGTATGTTAATCAAATTGAAAATTTTCTTCTATTATGAATGGGTCCTCAGTCCTTAATCAATTCAAAACTGAAGGTATACTCTAATATCTGGCAGAAAATGGTTAGAAATGGTAGAGGAAAATATTTGAATGTTATGAAATATTTGAATATTTGGGCCAGTTCAGTGATTTAGTATCCTTTTTGTAACTAGATTTCAGTAGTAGTGTCTAGAAATAAGAGCAAATATAAGAATGTTATGAAATATATAATCAACAAAGGGTAAATTTGATGATTTCAATGTGGAATTTCTAGTTCTCTATTTGTATTTATCCATGAATTTAGGATATTTATTTAGGATTATGATTTCATTTATTCCATCATTTTACAATATTTAATATGATAAACTCTTCAATAACAACATCGATTTTCCTTTGACACACACAAATAACTTTAATTATCTTTTAAAGGTTTGCATAAAATTCTCTAACCATCTTGGGAGAAATTTCGTGAGGTGTAGAGATCAGATATAACTTACTAAAGGATGTAGTAGACGAAAGCTATTTAAAATACTCTCTTTTTATTGATAAAGTTACATGTAGAAGTCTCTCTATCTAATGAAGATGGTGATCATTGAGTTGATGCAGAATCAAATGATTATTTTTACATAATATTTTTTTGCTATATTAATTGCACTAATTTTATCACATAAATTGATATCTTATCCAATTTAATACCATAATCCTTTAATTGTGACTTAATACCTTACACCTAGAAACCACATATTCTATCTGAAATCTATTTAACTTCAGCACTAATAGAGTTATTAAATTTTAAATTTTGGATTCGTTTAAATTTCAGTACACTAAAGATAAAAAAGATCTACTAGTACATTTCTTATACACTCTTTTTCATAAGAAATCATAATCACAATATACAATCAAATTTAGATCATTATTTGGAAGATATGATATTCATAAAGATTTGATTCTTACTAAATATAATAAATTTCTTCTAATAGCATTCAAGTGTGATTCTTTAGAATTATTTTTAAAATATAATTTTTTTATCATTTTTCTAGGAATGATTTTACCTACTTCCTTTCAATCTTCATCTTAATCTAATTTGCAAGTTATTCCCAGCATGTTCTATGAATTCACTCATTCTATTGCTTCTAGTTTCAATTCTGAACTATTTTGAATACTAAGGCTAAATTTCGTAAACATGGATCAGGTTTCATCATTTGTGGCTAAAAAATGTGTCCAAAAGAATCATGAGCAATCATAAAAAATTACTAGAAAATAATATTTTCCACTGAGGCCTATT